CCCCCCCCCCCCCCCCCCAGCCACTAGGCCGGGTTTAAAAACTATGGCAGAAACACAGATAAGGTATCCGCCGAGAGAGTGGAAGAAAATATAAATAATATTAACATAAAAGGATAACATAAAATTATGGGAATTTGATTTTTAATTAGTTAATTAATTATTAAAATAAAATTTAATTAATATAGATATTTGTTTCAATTTTATTCAAAATAAAATAATATTTAAATAAAAACTAATAATGTTTTTCTTAAAAAATATATATTTATTAATCAAAATAAAAATAAAATTCATTTTCGATTTAAAATACTTGTTGTAATTTACATTTCAAACACTAAGACCATACATGAGTTTATTATAATATGTTGTTTTATTTTGTTCAAATTCTATCAAACACAAAATAAAACAAATTTTCAAATCTTGTTTAAATATAAAACATGATAATTATTTGTAATGTTTATCAAAATAAATTTAATCCAGATCAGTCCAATTAATATTATTCAATATATAAAACACCAGTGTGTTAGCATATTCTTTAGTTTTTCAAATTTAATTTTAATGAATTTTCATTCTAAATTTTTTTGAAGCTATTACGTAGACTCAAGGATAATATTGACTATTGAGCATTATTATTTTTATATTTATTCTAGAAAGAGAATTATATCAATATTCTACCGGGAACATTTAAATACAAAAGACGAGCATAGACGGTAACCCAAATACTTTTTTTTTTTTGAGAATAAATAGTAATTAATTAATAAGCAAGCCTATTTTGAGAATAAACAAGGATCTACACGTGCTAATAAATAGAAAGACACCAACCAATACTATTTTGCCAGACCCCCACTTCAGTCAAAAGGTGCTGGCTGCTAAGCCTCGCATCCATATCCAGATTAATCAAAATAAACGTAAACACGAGGAGTCCGCAAACACACGGAGGATGATTAAACTAGTTGGATTTTAGATTTGTTTTTTTTTTAATCATTAATTTAAATTTTATAAGTTTTAAAAGCATTTAAAATTTATATCGTTAACTTCATTAATGTCAATTTAAAATAAAAAAACAAAAAAAAACGTGCAGATAGCGCTGGCTGTAATTCATATAGAGAGAGAGGGGCGGTCAGAGAAGACTGAAGAGAGATTTTGTTCAAAAATGGACTCTGCATTGGCTGTCTCGGCTACGGCATTGCCTCTCTTCACCTTATCCAAAGTCAACCGTCATTTCATCACTCACAATGCTCGTTCCTTTCTCCGCCACTCCTCGTCTCAACTCGGCACTCTCCGACTCGGTTCCATCTGCTCGCACAACAACGACGCCCTTGCTTCTTCTCCTTCTTTGTGCACGGTGGTCCCGCTGCTACGCCGCCGCTTGGAATGCGTTTCCAGCTCCGCGGCGTCCTTCGGGACCTCGTCCTCAGGCGGCGGGGGAGGGGGCGGCGAGGGAGGG